CTCACATAGAGATATATTTTCATAAAAAAATATTGTTACATGAACATAGAGATGGACTGATGTTGCATGAAGATAGATCCCAGACTGATAGATCCCAGCAAGACTGATAGATCCCAGCAGTAAAAAGCGCCTCGTGTGAAAGATTGCGCTGTAAATACTGCCGCGGCATTTTTGACGCGCGCAGTATCTACTGCCCTGTGTGAAAGGGGCTAAAGGCGTTATGGCTCTATGCACATGCACTGGGATGCTATGCCCTCTAGCGTTCATTGTCACAAAAAGGATTATGAACTGAAGTTTAAATTTGGGTAAAGATGGCCACCGGCGTTCGCTTCCATGCAATTTACAAATGTATTCGCAACATCTGCACTCAAATAAACTTAAGATAATTTAATTACCGATCAACAAATTGATTTTATGGTTGATATAATTATGTAATAAGCAATTATCAATATGTTCATAGCATTTACCTCGATGCAGTAATTTTCTTATGAACATTGATGCCTATCAGCATCTATCAATGGAATTTGTTCACACACAAGGAGTGATTATTTCACTCTCACACTACATTGAATATTATTTCATAGTAAAGGTAAACGAAACAATTTTAGAGCAAAATTTTTCTAATACTCTTCGCCGACAGGAAGTAAATTTACATGAGTATCTTTCAGTGAATGACATAGTAGACACAGTATTCTATGCAAATGATATATGTTAAAATGTGCCAGATTTTATCGGTAAAGCGATCTCTTTTGTTGTGCAGGCGGCCTCACAGTTGCCCAGAGGAACGTGACGTTTATTTACTGGTTTCCATCGACACCCTCGGCGAATTCTATCCAATTTCTTAGTATTCCCATTTCCGTAGACGTGAGCACGTTAAAGCTACAAAGGTTAAATCCTTTCACGAGCGGACATGAAAATATTAAGAATTAACAGTTTTCAATGCCATCATACAGCAGCTAAAATAATTTTACGTTAGCTGACAAAGGAATACTTTCCCTGAATTGTACTGTAGATTAAGGCGCCCGGCGCCGGTCTCGGCTCAAAATTTTAACTGCATGGGATCGCAACCATCGATTTATCATATAGGGTCACCTTTGTTTTAATATTTGATGCTGCAGAGAAATTGAGTTGTTTTGTGAAGTATAAATGATGCGCTTTAATCTAAAGCACTATTATATCAAGTTACTTATATTTCTTAAAGAGATTTTTTAAGTTTTTAGTGCACGACAATAACACGAGCGTTTGAAAGGGTTAATGCATCCCGCCACACTCAAGTCATGTGCAGCGTTGATGGTGATGCAACTGAGACTTATAATACTCCAGGTACAATAAGAGAACCAAGTAGTTCTAAGAACAAACTGTCGTGGCATATACAGAGGTGGGCAGTAGCGCGCTACATGTAGCGGCCGCTACTAGCGGCCGCTACATTTTCAGTAGCGGTAGCGGTAGCGGCGCTACATTTAGAGCATGTAGCGGTAGCGGTAGCGGCCGCTACATTTCAAAGTAGTGCTGCCCAGCTCTGGGTATATATCAAAATATCATGAAATTGCGGGGCCATATCAGATTAAAAATTGCAACAGCAGGCGTTGAATTTGAAAAGTACTTCATAGAATAAAAGCTGTAGTCCGTTATCTCTCAAATTCTTGCCGTCCAGTATAGCGTGATATATGAATTTTAAATTTTACAGAAACTCTCAATTCATATATTTTATTTAACGTCGGAAATAACAATCGACAATCCGAACTTTGCCGCAATCTTTATAAACGGGGCTTCAGTTATTCCATCTTTCACGAGGAAGAACAATAATTTTATGTCACGATTGTTCGGATATATTTTTTTTCACGATTATTTTTCTCACATTATTGACGCCGTCAGAGCCAATATCGCTAGAGCTCCGCAATTGCTCGCCTCTGAGTGGGCCGTGCATCGAACGCAGACAATTTATTATTAAATACTTGTATTCAATTTACCTGAATTAATTATTAAATACCTGTATTCAATTTACCTGAATTAATTATTAAGTACTTGTATTCAATTTACCTGAATTAATTGTTAAATAAATACTTTCATAGAATTTACCCGATCACCAACTACTCGTTAATTTGCATAACTTTAATTATATTAAAATTGAGTGAGCATAAACATTAGATTATAAAAATTATGGATAATTATTTTTTAAATCATAATTAGGTACTAAATAATAATACACGCTAATAATAATGACAATAATAATAATAATAATGATAATAATAATAATAATAATAATAATTATTATAATAATAATAATAATAATAATAATAATAATAATAATAATAATAATAATAATACTTGCTAAATAACAGCAAATGATTGCTCATCATGGCCCTCCAGTTTTTTAAATACAATCGTTATTTAATGCAATTTAATATGATAATTCGAAGTCGTTAATAATACAATTGTTGTCTAATGTTCAAAACAATATAATCAATGCAGATTACCATAACATGTGAATCAATTTATTTGCAACCCTGACAAATTAGTTCCTAACGCTTATACATCTCTAGTAAAATCGACATCGCTGCATACATTTGACCTTGTTAAATGCCGACGTGTGGTGCTGCGGTCATGACGTGTGTTATGGTAACCTTATAGCCGCGACCTCGTCTCTATGGCGATCATGTCCACACAAACCCGGCTTATAATGCCAGAGATGATCTGAGTCCGCACGCCACACGGCAACTGATAATCCATTAATTAGAGTTCTCGTGCTACCTGACCGACCTGTCGAGCCGAAGTGCGGTGTCATAAGTGAAGTAAAGAACAGGAATTCGCTATCCTTTATGTGGGGGATCCTCGATGTACCCAAAGTTTGATAAAATTATTTCATATATTTTGGGGGGAATTATGTTCATCTATCGAATGTTAATCACACTGCATTCAGAAGCAAGTTAATAGAATAAGCTCTTAGGCGTGATGTGATGTTTGGCGTGAGACTTTGAGTTGAAAGATTCGTCCCAAGCATTCATATCTTTGCTTGCAACATTTATTCAAGTAAAACCAAAAACTTATATATCATGCCACTAAGAAGGATTGTTTTCCTAGGTGGCGCATTTTCTCATTTATGGAAAAATGCACTATTGTGCTCGCCATGTCCGTCCGTCTGTCTGTCTGTCTGTCCGTCCGTGATTCCACGTTTTCGTCGACGAGAAAATGCGCTCTCTGTCACTCACTGCAGTGAGTACTGAGTTATATTTTTACTTATGTGAGCGCGACATGAGAAGCGTTATTTTGAGCAAGTAGTAGACTGCAGAAGTGGTCACCGTCGAGGGAAGCTAGACTTTCCTTGCGCTGCAGTTTTGGACCGCCTTGTGCTCCTTCCAATTAGACTCGGACTAATTGTACACGCTTTGCAATGATGGATTTAAGATCTCTGTTCAAACGGGATATATTATTTTCATCATAATTTATCAATCATTTAATTTAGCTGCGTTCTGCATCAAAGACTCCGCAAAACAATACGCCAGATGATTACAATGATAACAAATCGTAAACGCCGGAAGAAAGTTCACCGCTCTGGTACGATAAACGCTCTGCTACGATAAAGGTCAAAATCATCATCATCATGCACGTGCCGGTAAACATCAAATTTCTCTATGTAATTCACCTGCTTATCAATGAAGAAAATTATTGTTCAGTACAGATGACCATGAAAAACAAATGAAAGTGAGGTGGTGAAATTAAGTATTTGAATTATCGCGGCCATCAACGATACGGTAAATATATAATTAAGGCCAGAGCGAGCTGCAGGTGCATATCGATGTTCCCAAGCCTTTGGTATCCACGACAAGACGTTGCCTGGCAGCCTAGCCCCCCGAGCCTGCACCGGCCTGGGTGCAGTCCGCGTTCCACCGAGCGAGGGGAATGAAAAATTGCTGGACTTGACAGCAATACAAAATTCAGGGCCGAGTGAGCTAATGCAATTAATTATAATTTATATTTATGTATTAATTTTTATTTATCGGAAGTATATTACAAACGAGCTAAGAATGGTGAAAATTAATTTAATGACTCATTTCCGCACAGCGTACCGAATCGAAGATCTAACTTAATTCGATGAAATTTACACTTGAATGTGTTGTTTGTTGCAGGTTTCGGCGGACGGCTTCCGGACGTTAATTGGAACAGTGCCGGAATCAGGCGCCGTTGCTTGGGCGACGTCCAGCTACCGACGACGGTCAAGAGAGAGAGAATGTCACTTCGCGTCACCACTAAACCTGCGCCTCACATCACCACACTTCCTCACATAACTACTCGTCTCACATCTCGAGTGGTGCATCGAGACTGATTCAGTCCTCAATTGAGAGCTTCAGCTAGTATTAGGATTACAGGCCAAACGTTGCAGTCATTATGTGTTGACAAATTATAATTAATGTTTCAATCATTTTAAATAAATAAATGGGAACTTCTTCAGTTTCGATGTTCGCCACACAAATTCGTTTCAACCGGAGCATTCAAGAATTACCTCTCAAAATAATTAACTTAAGTCTTGCACATAACAACGCCTTCATAGAGGGCGCCAGTTGAGACGAATTGATCTAACCCAACTAAAGTCAAGTATATGTAAACCGATTTTTCGAATTTGAAGTATTCCACCAATTAATTTATTTACTTACTTCCATCATGCTGCATTTTACAATATATATTTGTCCAACTCACTTCAGAAATTTAATCTTGAAATCACAATTCGAAAAATTGGGTCTTGATCTTACACTTACACGGGCTGGAACTGCACTTGGTGGTCAGAAATCAATGGTTGAACTATGTATGGTTGTTCCACGAGGATTTCCGTTTTTCAGTTCAGCTTTCTCGTTACGTCAGTGAGATCGAGAAACGTAAACAATCCCAATTCCGCCATTCCCATGACTGATTGGTTGATTTTTTTGAGCGCATTTAGGTGATTGGTTAATGCCTATGACGTCACTGAGATCAATGACGTCACAGGCGAACAACGAACTACATCCGCAAAAATGAGCTTCTCATGGGTCAACTTTACATTAGTTCAACCATGTCAGAAATTACTCATTGGAAGACGACACTTTTCCGTGAGGTCTGCCCCAAGACTGCAGTGTTCCTCCCACTGAACAGAACGTTTGTTCCAATGTCATATGCTAAGCTCTTGTAATTAAACGAGAAGTTGGGAAGTTTAGCGGTGTGTGTGATTCAGAGAAAGTGTGAATGGATGTTAATGTGTGAACGATTTTTTTCAGTTCTTTTTTATTTCATTCTGTCTTCTTATTTCTTAATCATTCACGTAATCACAGGCCTACAAAGATGGACGTCAGCTGCATCGGTTCTTCTACGGCCATGAATATCGTACATTATTTGTCCATTATTTCATTAAGTCCTTATGGGTAATAATAATTCAATGACGTGGATATACTGATGATGTTGTTCTGTTACCAGCTGCCACAACGGTGAGCCCGACTACTGGTGTTACCGTCCTCACAACACCGTCCCGTGAGTTCTTAACAAATTTTCGATTCAAGATGCCAAGGTTTTTGTTATAAATTTACAAAAGTTGTATCTAAATGTGTAAGTCTTTTGCTTCGTCACAAATTCTGGATCCTGTCACGCTCTCCTGTTTCACTTCATGGTGTTCTAACTAATGATGTCGCAAGTTTTGAGTCGTTTTCCGCAGGACGTTTAAATTATCATTGAAGAAATATTTTACTATCAAAATTTATCAAAAACTTTACCCCATGATTAGGTCAAGTATAATTGAACTTGAACATTTCATACTTTCGCTGTTTTGAAACTTTGCTGATCGATCCTTCCGCTCGGTTCTTCATAGTTAGTTTTGCTATTTTTGTATCGCATTAATTGGCACATAAATAGTGATATCTCTATTGATTCCACATGATTCTTATTGTTTTTTCCGTAATTTTTTATTTACAAAATCAGAAAATTTTCAAGCTCGTTTGAACTACTACCACATTAACCCATTGCTGGCCGATTAGCTAATTTGAAAAATATCTGACTGCCACACATAAATCGAAAAGAGTTACCTGCCCAACCATCGGCATCTGAGTGACAAACAACGCGCATGTTGTTGGGTTACGTAATGTATTTTTTTGTGGCAGCTCCTTACGATGAAACGGCGGATACGCACATCGGCGTCTTGCAGAACAACATGACGGACACGGACGGCATCAACACCACGTACGTCGCAACGGACGCTCCCTTCGGCTTCGGATACGCCGTGCTCATCGAGAGCGTGAAAAAGCAGGTTAGTATCTGAGATAGAGCCATCATTATAAAATACTAAAACAGGTCAGTATCTTAGAAAACGCCATCATTAGGAAATACAAAAACAGGTCAGTATCTTAGAAAACGCCATCAATATGAAATACAAAAACAGGTCAGTATCTTCGATAACGCCATCTTTATGAAATAACAAAACAGGTTAGTGTCTTAGATAGAGCCATCACTATAAAATACCAAAACAGGTCAGTATCTTTGAAATGCCATCACTATAAAATACCAAAACAGTTAAGTATCTTAGAAAATGCCATCATTATGACATACCAAAATAGGCCAGTATCTTTGAAAATGCCTTCACTATAAAATGCCAAATAGGTCAGTATCTTAGATAACACCATCACTATGAATTACCAGAAATAGTCAATATCTTAAATAACGCCAGCATTATGAAAAACTAATTCAGGTTGGTATCTTAGATATCACCATCATTATTATATACTGCCATCAGAAAAGCAAGTTCCCAGATGACCGGAAGCAGAGGTCGAAAGAAAGTTATCGGCAGGGTTGATGTGAAGACTAATAGATTGGAAAACTCAATTCGCGGATTCATTTTTCTTATTCCGCATTTCGCCTTGACGATAAATTTTCTGTTACGTTTATTTTCTTCAGCTTATCGCGACTCGATTTATTGTATTTGTAAGCATGTTCACATATACGTTTCATATGCCTCGATGTGAACATTATGAGAATATTTCAGAATTTCCTTGATATTAAGAAAATAAAACGGAGTTTAATTATGGTATGAGCTACACTTTTTCATAAACGTTGACTGGAGTCACGGCTTGGAAGTTAACATAAATAACTGTGAGTTAATTGTATTTACCTTATGCAGTGCTTGAAGCAAAATAACTTCACGAGCCAGTCCGGCACGGCCTGCATGGCCGACCCCAATTTGTGCCCCAACGGTCTCTCCTTCAGCATCTGGGAGAAACACACGTTCTCTGAGGACGAGTTCTTGCGATACGATCGACTCAAAGACAGTGACATCAAATACGTCCTCTCAACTGGTAAGATACTCAGAGATACTAACACTCTAATGATGGCTTCGATAAATGAAAGACAAGAAACATATATTTAACCTTTTTCGGTCACCGTGCGAATCTTGAGCATTACGGACCATGCGAACCATAAGGCATTTCATGCGGACAGGCTCATTCAAGTTCCTTTCGTTGGTTTCCGAGCCGATTATATCTAATATTTCGAAAAATTTAAGAACTGTTTATTTATGGTTGCTTATTTTATTTTATTACGCTAAAAATCAAATGTAATTTAGCCATATTTTTTTACAAAACACCAATTTATATATTTGGTTGACATTATGATCTGAACGTAGCACCATGCTACGATTACTTCTAACGTCACGTCAACATTTCAGGCGGTGACAGAGAAGGTCACCCGGGTATCGCATTCTTCCACCACGGCATCTTCCAGCACGCGATCGTGTCCACCGGAGACAAGTACTGGGAAGTGAAGGTGCCTGGCTTGATGTACAACGCCACCTGGGCAAACATTGGCATACGCTGGAGTCCGAACGTCACCATGAACCCTAATGACGTCCCAATCAAGGGAGGACTCGAGGTAGCTTCCATATTCCATTAGTTTAGTTCGTGGGAAATTTGTTCGAATCGTCATGGTGGGGCGCTGTCCTGTCCATAATGAGACACTATTTTCATTGAGCTTCTTTTTTTAACAAATGATATATGCGGCCTGATGAAAAACTTTTTTTCTGCGCCGAAAACATTGCTGTACAACATGCATGGACATAAAGAAATTTGTTAGTTTATTTGTTTGTCAAATAAATTGTCATTAAAATAAAATCTCGCTTGCCCTATTCCACACTTTGGTTCGCAGTTGTTCATCACGACGAAGCGTGAAAACCCGCTGGAGACGCCCCAGAAGCGAGTGGGGCAGAGCTTCTTCCCTCTGCCGAGCACTAAGTCAAAGCAAGCAGGGCTGAACCCGCCTGAGCTCATGCTCGGCTGTCACAAGACGAGCGACAACGCAACCTACCGCTACTTCGGCGACGGCGAATACGATGAGCTCGCTTCGTGGAGGAAACCTCTGCCTGAAAATGAGACCTCTTACTTCTTGGGAGGCTACAGTCAGTATTTCTTCTTCACACTTGTAGTAACTATCTCTTCCATAGATTGTTTTCGCCTTGATACGCGTTTTCGGATCAGCAGAGTAATGAACTTCATCAAAATTAATTATTATATACTAGTAGCTGCATTAATTCACAAAGAATTTCATTACTTATAAAGTAAATAGATTTTTTAATCTATAATAATTGGATTATTCTTATTTTACTACCAGCATTGGACTTCAAACGTTTTACATCACGTATACTGGCACATCATACGCCTAAAATCCCTAAATTTTCGCATTATGCGCCTAAATTTCTTGAATACCTACGTTTGTTATTCTTATTTTCAACTAAAATAATGCAAGAAATTTATCTTAAGTTTAGCTTTTGTCCCTACGGTTACAACCTACTCTTTTGACGAGCAGTGGACGACTTCGCGAACGCCGACATAAAAGATACGTTGAGGATTCTGAACGGAGCGGATATGAGTAACCCGGACCAGCTCGCGATCGCAATGAAGGCAGCTGACCAAATGTCGCAGGTCCACGCGAAGCCAACGTCCGCTCCTGAGACAACCGCGGCGCAGTCAACTAATCTTGCTTCCTCCAGCCCTACACGTGCGCCTTTATCGCTCCTGAGACCACCGCGGCGCAGTCCACCAATCTTGCTTCCTCCAGCCCTACACGTGCGCCTTTAGGACATTATTCGTATTTTGTCAGGTGTAGGGGCAGGGTGGCCCAGTAGTTAAAGTTCAGAGTACCAAGATTGGCGCAGAGAGGCGCGGGTTCGATCACAGCTCTGTGCGCCAGTTTCTGGTCATAATCGGCGAGGAGGCCGGGCGGTTATGGACAGCAGAATTGTAGCAGTGCGTTGCGAGTTCGAAACCGCAAAATGCTGTGAATGATCTGCGATGTTGAGAATCAGCGACAGGCCTACGGCCTACAAAACGCTAAAATCGCTAAACCGTAAGATTTTTCGTTTTCCCGGTCAGAAATGCTCCATCATTTCATCTTAAGCTTGTTTAATATAGAAATTTTCCCTTATTATGATTGGAAACATGCAACCAACAATTCTTCCTAGCCACAGTTTATTCGTGTTCTTCAGCGTCAATTTATCTTAGGTAGTTTTTTATTGTTATTTTTGAACAGCTGCTGGACCGAACAGAGTGGACGCCTTGACGGAAGAGGAGAGTATGGACAGACGAGAGCAGCTGCTGGATCTCGCCAACAAAGTGTATAACGTCTCGAATTTGCCTGCGTCTCTTACCTTTGAAACTGCTAACTCACTACTGGTGAGGAGACTCCGATTTGATGGAGTTTAAGTATACGTTGATTTATTATTTAATTTTCACTCTATAACCTGCTTACCTTGTCGCATCCGCTAATAATTTAATACAAGCAGAAAAATGATATTTTAAAAAATTAATTCTAATTATTTCTCCTGGTCCTTCCTCTGAGCGTACGTGAGGTAGTTCAACTTTTCGACATAGTTGTCCTCGTGGGCTTCATGAAAGCTGGAATCCGTGGTCCAAATTACTTATAACAGGACACAAAGTCTCATGCTCGACCATCATATACAAAAAATACGTTCTGAAAAAAATTACGGAATTCATTGAGCAATTGAAGCCCCGATAAGATTCGTGTCAAAGTAGCAATATTGTCTTGTTTGTCGTCAATTCAGTTTAGGATAATTTGAGTTTTAATAAATTAAATCCTTATATTTCATAAAAACAAGCTGCTAAATTATTTGTTAACTCGTTTTATAGAATAGAAATGCGACACACAAATGCATGTATTATAGTTGTAGCTCAACCGAATAAAATATGTTTCTTTCTATCAGAACCTTAAATTGGCCAGCAACTTGATGAGTAGAGAGTCGGCTGGAGACTGGGAGAAGATTCAAATGAATGGAAGTGGCGGTGCTGCCATCCTCATGTGGAACGTCATTTCGTTTAGTAAAGAAGTCTTCTGCCGAATCCGCTACGACAACAACACAAAGCCTTTCACTAAAGCCCAGGCTACGGAAAACATCAGTAAGCTGTGCTGTAGCGTGCCCACTTGACTTGGGTATAAATAAACTTCTTCGTATTGGAAGCAAAATTCTTCTTGTTTACTCCCTGATAAATCATAATTTCAATAACCTTAGAAATAAATGAGTGGATTTTATCGTTGTTTAATAATGAATTTACAACCTAATAAATGTTTCGTGTACAGCATTTATTCAAGACATCTGGTTGCGCGATTTCCGTTGTACGTATACCTAATTTCAGGCTTCGGTCTTGTTCGGGCAATAATTATCACTGAACTGTGGGTTGATCAGAGCGCTTAATTTTCACCGCAAAGCTGTGGAATTGTTCAATTTGAACTCGTCATTATTATATGGAGATTTCCCCTTCTTAAAAGCTGAAATAGTCAGAGAGCAAACACATTGCTCTAACACACATAGAATTTACTACGATTAAAAGTATCGGGTTGCATGTAGCCACTTAAAGATTCTAATATTTCGATTTTTTCTCAGTTTTCTACGGTCAGAAAATGCTCTACGCAGACCTCAAGAGCAAAGGAAGATACGTGCAGCTACCAGACTACGGCGACCCACAGCTGAGGGATGCCAAAACGAACTGGAACATCGTCTACGACGCGGCTCGATGTGAGATGCCTTTGCTAACAACAGATCGAAATCAGCTAATCAAGAACTTTTAATAGAATATCTTGCCATATCATAACCTCAACACTCGCATAAATTCACTAATATTGGTTCAGTGTATGTGCAGCAAGGATTTATGTTCATTGCTAAATTTGTTGGCTGAATAAATCTTGTATCTCGTAGTTATTTATTCCCTCGGTTACTTCATTCGCAGTCTCAACAAAAGTTCTCAATGACAACAACTGCAACAAGCGCCCCGTCTGCCTGGTCACCATGGTCTTCAATACCTACGACGACATCGGCCCCACACCCATCAACTTCGCGTACGTCGTGTACCCACATATTCTACAGAACGTTCAGTGCTTCATTGAGGAAACTATGCATGAAATTAGACCAATCAAGATTGACATTAATAATGTAGAGATTGTGTTAGGATCATGACTTTACTTCGAAGTGTACGTTAAGAACTGTTTCGAAGAGTTCCATCATACGGAATTGAAGTGATGAGTTTACTGAGCAATCTTGCTACAATATTTATAAACAGGTATCAGGAAGCTATAATGTCGACTTGTAATGTTTTCTGTTGCAGGAACATCCCGCGGTCCAGCACCCATGAGATGGGGTCTCGCCTGGTCTACGGCTCGATGTCTGCAGACATAGCGCGAGACGCCAGGTGGAATGTGAACACAAGTGCGCCCCTCTGCTACGTCGACCCCTTCTCAATGAGCGACGATCCCTTCTACGTCAAGCTCGAGAACAACGATGACGTGCCTTCTTTGCGACAACTCAACTTCCACTCCGAGGAGGTCGTCACGCAGGTATTGAGCTGAGCAACGGTGTCAAATTTCCCTATTAGCGTTTCTTTGACATCGAAACATTGGTTAATTTTTTTTTGCAATTTGTTGCCATGCTAAGCTTTAACATTAAAAACAGTTACAGACGTTTCTTCATTTAGTGAGACTTATTTAGGTGAGCTCGCTGCACTTTTTTCTTTACCAAATATCAGAATTATTTGGCCATTGTTTCACTTTATTTCTCTTATTCACACACAGTCAAAAATCTTGTTATACTTATAACCTTTACTGTTATAAAATTTAGGAACTCTTCCTCATTGGTAACGTGACTGCAAATATAAGTTACTCAATGATGACTTGCAGATCGAGACTCGGCGCTGCGCTTTCTGGAACGCCAACCTGAGCGACTTCGGTGCCTGGGACACTGACGGCTGCAACGTGGTCGAGGACACGGCCTTCTACACCAGGTGTTCCTGCGACAAGTTCGGGCCCATGATCGTGCTCGCTGAGCAAGTCGACCCTGCGGTAGGTATCCTTGACACACTTGGTGGCTCATTTGCATGACACACTTGGTGGATCATCAGCTTGATGCACTTGGTGGATCATCTGCATGACGCACTTGGTGGGGGTCTATTAACTCACATGGAAAGGCCATGAGGGTTGTCCACGCATCCTCTCATTATTCTAAACAAAAAAGTTGAGATTAAAGTGTGATTAAACTTTTTGAATTTTGACGGGATTAGTACGTCAACGCCTCAATTCCAGTATTAATTCAACAGTGTCCAAAGACCCCATTTTCTTTCGGTGTTGTGCATTTGTTTAATGAAATCAGAAAATATTTTTTTTAGCCAAAAAAAGGCCGCGATCATGAAAATAGTAAATTTATCGGCTGTTCGTGCTGTGATGTTAAGTACTAAACTTAATCGTCATACGGATTTTGTTTTCTCAAAATTTTAACAATGTGGAGGTTTTATTAAGGCAGTAGCTTTAGAATAAGTGTTCACTGCAATTTCGCTCTCTATGATTTGGTTTTGGAAGGCCAAATCAATCCCTAGCATTTCCTGGTAAAAAATTTGTTTTCATTGTTCTCATCTAACCAGAATAAAAAATATATCAATGATAAATGCTATACTGTGGGTAAAGTATTCGAAACCTTAAAATACAAAACTTGAAGAATTTACCCTCATTCGTTGGTGTTTGCTATGCTCAGGTGGTTCCACCGCAGCAAGACTGGCTGAAGATAGTCAAGCTGATTTTCTACGCCATTTCAGCGGTACTCCTGATCTTATACAGCGTCGTGGTGGTATATTCACCGTGAGTTCATTGAATTATTTTGTTGAAAATAATCTTCCTCGTGACAGTAATCCATGCTACGCTGCATTAATAACCAACCGAATGGATGCTACCGGGAGTTTGTTTCGCTGAGAAGAGATCGTAAATTGTTTACATGAAATATTCCTAGAGAAAAATGCGACATTGAGCTTCATTATAAAGGGACTGATATCAAGACTATGACTGAAATATGCTTTGGGCAGATCCTATCAAAGATTTAATAGCAACAGTGAACATAATGTTTTTGTAATTTTAACCAACGATATAATTACAATCACTTAGTTTCGGCGGCGATCTCAATCGCTGTTTATGAGCACGTTGAATACTTGCCAAATTAACACTTAATTAACCCGTTATTAATGACTTTCTCGTGCAGCGACCTAAAAGAGCAGTTCCACCTGATGGGCGTGAATCTCTCGATCTCTGTGCTCCTGGGCTCCATTGCGATGATAGTGAGCGACTTTGATGGCATCCGTAACGACAGACACTTGTGCACCACCATCAGCACACTGACGCACTTCTTCTACGTCGCTGCCGGAGCCTGGGTCGCCTGTCTGGGATATGCTTCCTTCAAAGCCATCACTTCAGGTTACCACCTTTCCAACATCTTAACATTTAAGAAGTGATGAATAATTATGGACTAAACTTAAAAACATTACCGCTTTGATGATAATCGATTGGGTGATGCTCAGTTATATTTACACGAGTGAAATCGCTCGCGTACTAATTGAGAGAGATGGAGAAGAATTTGGAACCAAGGGAAATCGTGTTTATTTAAAAATTAATTGTAATCAGCACAATAAATTTTGTGCCAATTTTTGTCCTAGAATTTAAATGCCAACCTTAAATTTTTCTATTCCCAAAAACTCTAACACTAAACTCTAACAACTTTACACACAGTAGTATAGTATCTTTGGCATTAAAGAATAGGCCTGGATAAGCCTGTTACCAATTCTTGTATTTTCTTGGATAGACTGGCCTTTTGATCAGATATTTTCAACGGACGGTAGATTAAAAGTCGCTTCAAGATATCAGTAAGACGTTCTCATGCCCACGCAGGCGAGGTGGGGGGAAAACTGAACTCATACTCGTGCATCTCATGGGGCCTGTCGCTGGTGTCGGTGGGTGTACCGTACGCCTTCTTCGTGCGCGACCTGGGCACAGACCCGCGCTGCTTCGTCACCTGGGAGAACTACGGCAAAGCAGCCTTCTTCATCCCACAGATGGCCTACGTCGTCATCGCCTTCTTCTGTGGCTTCGTCGTCCTCTGCAATCTTTCAACTCCTGCTCTCAGGTCGGCATGTTCAATTCTGTCAAGATTATCTGGTTCATTTCAAAAGTGGTTACAGTGATTACAGTTCAGAGTACCTAGATTGGCGTAGAAAGGCGCGGGTTCGATCCCAGCTCTGTGCGCCAGTTTCTGGTCAGAATCGGCGAGGAGGACGGGCGGTTAAGCACAGCAGAATTGTAAGTCAGTTGCAGAGTTCGAGACCACAAAATGCTGTGAATGTTCTGCGATGTTAAGAATCGGCGACAGGTCCACGGCCTACTAAACGCTGAAACCGTTATTATTATTTATTATTAAAACATGCGATGAAAAATGTGAATCTTTATTCACTTCTGCTTATATCTGACATGCAGTCCAGGAAATGTTGTATCACTGATCAATTGAAAACAATTTTGTAATGCATACCGATTACCATTAGTTGGTATTCCAGGGTTACTTATAACATGATTTTGTTATGTTCAACGTTTCAGGAAAGAGAATCTAATTGACGATTACGGCTCGTTCTGCCGAGGCGCCGCCTTCATCATGCTTTACTTCGCCATCACGTGGACATTCGGGCTGCTCGCTTACATGCGCTTCGACCTCACTATTGACTTCTTCCCCGTGTTCCAAATACTCAACTCCTTGACAGTGGGTTAAGATGCTTAGGAAGCATGGCATAATAATATTATGGAATCACTCAATATCATAATAGACAAACAGTGGGTTACCATGTTTAGGAAGCGTGACATTATGATCTTATAGATTGGTTCAATATCATAATAGACAGACAGTGGGTTAACATGTATAGGAAGCATGACATAAATATATTCTGGAATGACTCAATATCATAATAGACATCATTACTAGGAAGCATATTGCTTTGACTGGAGGAACAAATAGTTGCTCTGCTTTTGAGCACATCACGCTGTGCATTAATTTATTTTGCTAATTGAATGAAATAAATGCAAAAAATCATAGTATAGAATTGAGAAATCATATCGAATTCCAAATCATATCGAAGATTAAAATTGAGATCACTCAAATTAAAACCACATAGATAAGCAATTGTTATGAATTTGAAGTTATTGGAAATTTATAGTTGCATATTCGTAATGCGAATGATCTGAAATTGTAACTTCATGCATTTTCAGGGCATCATAATCTTCATTTGCATCGGGGTGGGCTCGTATCGCTACCGAACTGTGCTCGTGGGTCAGGCCAAGACCAGGGTGAGTCACAAACCAAGTTGAAGCTGCACAAAAATTAGTTTCGGAAGGTCCCGCAAAAAAATCCGTTCGATTCAAAAGGATCCGTTCATGAAATAGCCTCATACTTGTGAAATTTCGTGAAAGCACACATGTACATGCTGCAAGGCGCTTGCTTTGCATCATATTAGCAATTCGTCGACGGATGTAGTTCTACGACAACAATTGCATATAAACGATAAAACACTATAAATACGAGTTCGATTTGGTGACGCCCAAAAATGCGCATGCCTTGTGTACATGGCTTGTGCCGTTTTTCCATTGCTCATGCTGTAAGTACATTGCTTGTGCCGCTTGTACATTGCTTATGCTGCCTGTGCATTGTTCATGCTGTTTTTACATTTCTCATGGCGTCTGTAAATATCTCATGCCATCTGCACATTGCTCAATGCTGTAAAACAATTGGGAAGCTGATGATAACTCCTTCCTTGCAGCGCGAGAAGATCAAGAATTTGGCCGGCATCAAGAAGACGAAGCTTGAGGATGACATGCCAGCTAAACCTCAGCCCAGGACGCAGTTTAAGCCCGCAGTTAGTGTCTTTTATTGTGAAACACAAAACTTTTTCTCGTTTCATAAAATTTCTCATGATAATTCATGATAAGCCAAAATATTTTATTCATGGATAAATACCAATATGTTTTGTTGCGTCGCCAGATGTTCCGGCTTAGGCAGTTACAAATACGTATGCCAGTGTCAAAAATTAATTTGATAAATTTATTATTTGCAGTCTCTATCATAAATCTCTCAGTGATAAAATCTACCTTGATCTTAAAAGGAGGCACGAAAGAATGAATACCGAGTATGAAATAAATTCTGAGCTCAATTCCTCCCACAGACAACTTTGCCTGATCGGCCTTTGACTACGTCCTCGCTACGACCGCCTGCACCGCGCGGAAACGTAAGAATTTAGCAGTCATTAAGCTTCAAATTCTGGTACTTCGGGTTAAGATAATTCGATTCCACAAACATGCCTTTCAACTCAAGGGCTACGCAAAATTTTGGACGCGTAACACGTCAGCCAGTGTCAATCAAAATGTCATCATGAGTTCTGTAATTTCGATGTCCATTACACGAACATAATTTTATGTAACTAAATAATAATCTTATAATTCAAATTTAATCAAACTTCTTCCGTACTCGGTCATGTGAGCATGTAATATGTAATGACGAAATTCTTCAACTATTGGTCTTTGAATTTCAACTATTATTTTCCAAAATTTTTATGTCTAGACAATGCGATTTACGTACTGTTTTTGCAGGTGGCAGGACGACCGGGATCTCGCCCAGTGACTCCCAGCTAATAACTTCGTAAATTTATTCTTCATTGGCGATATAATCCACATAAACTCGCTCTAAAATCAACTTTTGACCAACTGGACAGCGTCCTCAGAAGCAATGTTTTGAAGTGTTTAAGTCAACTGTTTTAATGCATTTACATATATTCCAGTACTGGAGAATTAGTTAATAAATAAAACACGTCAGTTTTTATTTCTTGGCATTGTATGGATGGAAAAAATACGGCACCTACGATAAAGCTTCAACATGAATACATAATATGGAGCTGCACATTTGAAACAGATATAACTATATTATCATTCTTTACTGTGACGCACGTTATGTAAGGATCTAGTTTTGTAAGGAGAATATCATGCTATGAATACATTAACTGTTGACGAGAATATCACTTTATATCATGATAATTATCGTAAATGAGCTCTATGTTGAGCCCGCGATGCGACACGGCTCGTGCGTGTCGTTCGGTGCACCAATTTAATAACATATAATATTGTGCAACTCAAAATTCGACGAAAATTTGTTGGGAATGACGGGGCTTGAGGTCATCGTTAATTTAGTCCTCGATTATTGTTTGTGTGTTGATATTATTCGTCTATTAATTTAAAAAACGTCATAAAATGAAATTTACAAAAAACACTAGAGGTCCCAAGAATTAGACCTTTCTGTAGCACGAACGGACTTGAAAGTCACAATACACTAATATACTATCTATACGATATAATAAATATATCTATCATGAACAGTATTGTTTTTTCTGTCCACTGAAAAATAAAGGTTATTGCGTCGACACGAGACATATAAGTAGCTACTGCTTTGCATCGCATCACAAAGACGAGAATTAATTCTGAATTCAACTTCGTTTTAGAGTTTCTTAATATTCTCTGCTGGGTCAGACACTAGAGTCAGGGTACGCACACAGTGAAAGCAGGTTGCCATCATGCTGGCGCCTGAAACCATAGAATACCGAAGCCTATTCGTACAGGTTTTCACTGTGAACACTTACATTATTATCCTATGTTCATTCTTGTGGCAGGTTGGAGCAGCTTGCCCGCGCGGGCAAATCTGCTTTCACTGTGTGCGTACCCTCAGGCGATATGGTAACCTAATCATCGGTCAGCTACAGGAAAAAGATACAGAATCTGAGACGTGAACGCGAACACCGAAACTAGAGAGAGCTGATCTCATCATTTAGAATTTTAGATGGTAGTGTAATATCATCCAGGCATAGTTAGCGTCAAAGCCCAAGCAAAATCTAGTCCGATCCGGCGAACGCTACGTGGCAAGGAGGGGCGCAGAGCGAGCGTCACGCCGCCGGTGCTGCTTAGGACGTCGGTCTCGCCTCTTAGGAAGGGCTTGAGTGAGGGAAAAAAGTCCCAGAAAATCCCTAGTTAATGAAAACTCAATATAGACAAACTATCGAAGTATTATTTCAGCAGAACAAATAATAAATTTATGCCACAAAAGGCGGGTGAATGAATACAACGATAAAAAACGGAGAAAATTTATATTAACTCCACTAAAAATGATGACACAGTGCTGGATTATTAACAACGTGGCCCAAATTAGCTGGTGTGAACAATTTTGCAGATAAAAATATTCGCGAAGTAGCAACGCTGTTGAGGCTGAAAGCTCTCTGGGGGCTGTCAATAAGTAACATTCTGGGATGAGATTTCTTCTCAGAGAACCGACAGAAATGGCAGTGACAAAACGAGAGCTCATTTACCTACGCATAAGGAGGGCAATAACGGTTCACCAAACCAAAGTGAAACAGAAACAATGCTTCATGAGAAAACGCACACATGGAACAACACGCACGGCTGTGTTAGTATCAGAAATAATGTTATAGAACTTTTCGTGAATTCTAGTTACCCACGCGCTAGCAACTTGTGCGTGAAAAATTGTAGTAAAATCTGTACAGAATTAGAGAGAATCCAGGATGAACAGAAAAGCACACAAACAATTGAACAATTAATTAGTCGTTACTAATCCTTCGCCAACATGAATTGAGTGACTAAATTCTGGCCAAATTGAGGAAAAAAAATTTAAAAATCTAAGTGTGATCGCAGTATCTGATTTGAGCAAAGATTGTTCGCAACAATGGAAAAAGGCGGCTTGCATTTCAACATTTGGCTACCAACAAGTCGGTACATGCGCAGCCATGCCAAGCGCGGTAGGAGAGAACGTATAGCTCGCCATATGAACTAGAAGATACCAAGATCATCGCACAAATTAATAAATTGTGAATTTATTAAAAAATGATTCAATAATATAATAAAAGACAAGTGTCATACTGAAAACACACCCACGTTCATCATCCCTTAGCATTGGGGAAATATTGACAAAGCAAAATGATGTCCCAATTCTCAATAATAATTATGATGACTAATAAATTGCCGGAAATGAAGACAGATGACTTTTGTTGCAGTAAAAATGGTTGCTGACGTCGGTATTGGACAGGGATCTCGATGAATATAAAAAGACATGATAAAGAAAAGAAGCACAACCCAGCCAGCCTTGTACATCCTGCCGACAACAGCCAGCGCGACTGACCCAAAAGCGTAGAGATTGTCTATAGAACACAACCTGATGACTTTCAATGATGCCCGAAGAAATTAACTAAAATTAAAAATTGAGTGGCCACATGGAAGCTAGCGCCCAGCTCCGGTGGTCATTACCGGATTCTACTTATGTGATAGCAACTGAGTTAACTCGACTACAAAAGATCGGGCATGAAACAGAGAACCGTGGGCTGAAAGAGTGACTGATTCGTAACGGGCTAATGTTACATCATCATGATGCTGCACGGTTGGCTCATCAATGCGAGCAAACATTAAGGATATTTATACCCAACACTAAATTTGGCTGTGAGAAACAGTGGGCAACTACATCGAGTACAGGTCACCCAGTAACTAGGCAGCGATACGCTTGAGAATTGCAAAGAAACTCTTCCTAAGAAGCATCAGAGTTTAATGGTAGAAATATACTTTAACTTAGCCGTCAGGGATGCTTTCAAGTTCGATAGGCTCTCCTGGTAACTTGCGTCAATCATGAGGCCGGTCTTGGTAAAATCTGGAAGAACAGGTTCGAGAGAATCTTTCAGTGGCTCCTTTCCTTCAGTTTCATTAGGAACATATTTTTCGTTTTTGGTTTCTTCTTTTTCTACGCCGTTTGTAAGTCTATCAGCAAGACCCAAAGAAGCAACGCTCGACTCAAGTTCGTTGTTGTCAGAGCTCGCAGTAGAGTTTTCAAACGCTTGATCGTCTTTATTTTTAAACTTTGGGACGATTTTAGAATAAAGATTTATGCTGTTGCGGGAATTTTCTTTGGCTATTGAAAGTTTCTCTTGTAGAGCGGGCTGCAGGGATCCAAGCTCGGCTTCCAGCCACGTGATGTACCATGAAAAATCCTCTAAGCATTCCAACTGCAAGTCCAGGGTAAAAACAAATCAGATGTTTGCTCCAAGACAACTTGATCGAGAGCAATAGGTTGCTATGACAACTTCAGGTTGTTTTTGAACACGAGTAATACAAGTTAATGAATGCGATAAGAAATAAACACGACATTTGGCAACGCGACGAGCTAAAACTATGTAAATTCAAAAGCACAATATACATGAATGACGCTTACCTGAGCGGGCGCATCTATTTTCTTCTTGCTCTTCTTGCCAGGCCTTTTGACGGCACGTAAAATTGCACTACAAAAGCCCAGCATCACGGTTATTATGCCCACAGTCTGCACAAATAAAAATAAAATATATGCGACTAAAGTTAAGAAAACCAATATACTAGTTAGTTAAGAATTATCAGACATGCAAAAAAGCAACAGTAGACCAATTATAAGTGAACCACATATTCCAGATCACACTTGATCTCGAAGATATTTCAGCTGACGACATGAGAGCATGAAAAACACAAAGGTAAACACAGCGACCTGCAGCGCGTGGTGCAGCAGTAACAAGGCTCGGGTGTTGGCGAGGACGGCGGTGGCGGCGCTGGCGTGGAGCTCGCGTAGCCCAGCGGTCGCGGCGACCAGCAGGTCGTTCACACCTTCCTTACATGCCTGCGCTGTGTCGCGTGTATACGTCACCTCAGCTGTCTTGCCGCCTGTCAATTGTTCAAAGCTTAGATCTTTACGTACTCGTGGTGAATTAGACATTTGGTGTCGTTATTGTCTTTTTATATTCGAGATTTAACGAGCGCCAGAGAATTTTTGCAGTGATTGGATAAGGCAACATTAACACTTCGATAGCAAGAGCTTACCAGCACAACAGTTGTGAAGCATCAAAAGCAGGTTGCCGTGTCTCAGGATGCAGTCCACAAAACTGCCTCTAGCGTAGCAACCAACGTTTCGTGATGTGCCCAGAGTAGAGCAGTCTATTCTTTCTTCCTCCACATCAGCAATTGACTAAGAAAAAAAAAATATTTAAAATGAATCAAAATAAGTACCACCAAATCAACACAAATGCAACGATAAAACAAATTATTAAAGACTTTCAAGTGCTGCAATGGAGAACGTCATCTATTCAATACAGTTAATTCATAAAGAAAACATAAGCTCAGATAGCGTTGGCAGTGGCACCGTTGAGGCACAAGCACTGGAACACACAGAAATGACGATTTGCAAGCGATTAACAGGTGGAAAGAAACTAGCCCGCGCATGAGAAATGCCCCTGTCAGAGAAGTATTATAAACTATACTCCATCACAACAAAAAAGGATGAATCATTAATGTCTCATTGACATGAACTGATGATTAGATTAAAAACTTTGGCAAATCAATTAATTAGTTACAAGAGCTACTGACCTGTGACGAGAGTTTGAGGCTCTCCAGCTCAGCGAGGACGTCTGAGTACTGCTGTAAGCTGGAGACTTCAGAGACGCTGCAACCGTTTGTCAGAGGCGAGGTGCTGTCAACAAATGATACATCTATGCATGTACAGCATGAATGATCGGCAAAATATTAAACCATAAAAATTATTAAAATCACTAAGTATTATCATACATAAAAATATAAAAGCTGTCAGTCCACCACTGAACAAAATTGCCGACAGGTTTTATAATTCGTTATCTAATATTATTACGCATGGAAACTCAATTATGCTGCACGATGTTAAAGTTTACCTGGTCTCCTTATGTTTAGTGAGCTGCAGACCAGCCCCCAAAAGCCTCAGAGTAACATTGCGGAGTTTGAGCTCCTCCACGACCGCAGCATCAGGCTGCGCACCTCCTCTCCTCTCGCTCGTCGAGCCAACACTGGCGTGACTGCTAAGGCTTTCTGTGTTTATATATAGCGATCCAGGGACTCTGTGGATGGAAATTAACTATAAGGTTGATGACAGATTAATTTACAGTGACATCACATCATCAAATGAATATAATCAACGGTTTTTATCAAGATGGCGCGCAATCGTCTTTTTTTGGGGCATATTTCTAATAGAGTAATCAAACGCCTTTCTTTACTGATAGAATGAATTATTGATTGGTGCTAAAAAAAACTAACACATAAATCAGATTTTTGCGTGCTTTTATTAAACAGCTGAGCCACACAAGCGAGAGGAAAAATGCAACAAAAGATTCGTAGCAATCACGAAATGTAGAGCAAATTATATGCAGCTTGAAGGTTCGAACCCATCTTGAAGATCCATAAATATATATTACATATAGTCTAACAGTAGCAATTGCAACAAAATATATGACGAATTTATAAATTTGAAGAAGAGAAACGTTTATGCATGAACTTTAGATCACTGCAAAGCCACAAGGATTTTACCGCAACATGGCGGCATGTTATAGTCATGGCAGCCATAGCAAGAATCATTCATCAAACAGACAAACACGCTTCTTTTCAAAGAAAGAGCGTAGCATGGCTACCACAAACTCAAGGTTTGGGCAGGTGGAGCTTACGGCAGCGGCGTGGGTAGCCAGTGAATTTTAACGGATTTGTCAGTGTTGCAGACGAGGGAGGCGTAGTCTGTCTTGTCAGCTACAGGATCGATCCGCTGCTGCTCTAGCACCGATACCGCAGCCTTGTGGCTCGACACCTGCGCAAAATTGAACATTTTTCCATCTCATTATATATTCATCAGCTATTCCGTTCATAAAAAGCCAAGAACAAGCCTAGCTTAGCAAACTATATAGTCTTCTAATAACTCAATCCGATCTCTTTCAACAGGCATTATTAAGTGGAGAGCATGGGATGTTTCCTTGTGCCATTTAGGCTAAGCTTGTTATCTGTAAGGACATAATAAAACTGTCAAGTCCTTGCCGCGTCGGAACTCCTTCACGCCTCACCGAGTGCGTGAGCTCCAGCAACATCTGCTCGGCGGTGACGGTAGCGAAGTGCACCGAGCGCTCGAGCCGCTCTCTGAACTCCCTGAACTCGGGGATGCGCGTCAGGGAGCCGTATCTGTACGCCTGGATCATCGGCTCGCCAGTCTGTATAGCAAAGACTTTTTATTACGTGTACAAATGAACTGGAATATTTTTTTCATCATTCCATGCAAAAAAAAAAAAAAAACAATTAGTAACGAACAGCAGGAAAATGAGCTTGCAAATAGGCTATCTGTATTTTATAAGAGGCAGAAATAAGTGCATCATGTCTAATTCATCTGTCAGAAATAGTACAAGATAAATAGTTTACTTGATGAAAATAATATTTTTACTCGTAAGTGTCGTTGCAATGTCATATTGTCGTTTTCAATTTTTTTGCTCCTAGATTTTATTAAAATAGGCATGAATACTCGAAATTTGTCACAACTAAAAAGATGAACCTATAGGCACATAATCCATAGACGAGTCGATTTGTATATGGTACACAATAACATACAGAATTAATTAAAATTTTTAAATCCAAGGTAACTAGTAATGACATGCACTTGAGTGAATATAGGTAGCGTGCCAAATTACTCGAGACTCGTACAAAAAATTTTCATCTTAGGCAGCTGTTGCAGTTGGCGACGCCAAACTTTCGTATACAAGTTTCTCTGCGTCTATTTACTTTACAGTTCCACGGGGCTCAAAGCTTATCTTTTTATGCGTATATACAAAGAAATCGTATCTCCAAAAGAGTAGATCAAAATAAAATTACCCCAAACTGCTTGTAGTCTAATCCTCGTTCATGCAAAATCGGTAGCTTTTTAATTAAGTATCTTAATATCCAAAACCTAAAGCAAGATTTTTATAGCCATATAGGTACATATCAGGTTAAGCCAACGCATTATTATGCCACGTATAATAGTTACAAGACTGACACACAATCCCATCATATGTACATCAAAAGGTCAGAGCCTTACCTGACTCGGTTCTTACAAATTATTTCAGGTCACATGGAGCGCGGAATTTAATTGTAAAAAGAGTGCTCAAGCTAATTTTAGGAGGTCACTTACTAAGAGCAGTACCTAACATAACTCACATCCTTGGCTGCAGAGACAAAAAAGGAGTTAGTAGTGGAGAAAATAGAAGAAGCCAAGTCGTAGTGGCCAGCGTCGAGAGCTTGCAGCGCCAGCACATTGCCCAGAGTGTCGAGCTGCACGCTCTTGATCTCGAGGCTCTCGTAGCAAACTCGACAAGCTCCGCAGGCACCTGCACCAACCACAAGCTACGTCAAAACGCACTTGTTTATTGATCAATAAGTGGCTAGGTTTATACGATTATTAATAAAGTTTCATGTACAGATATAAATACATGCCTGTGTATTTTATATGTTTACATATATACTAATATTGATCATTACATAAATTTATTTATATGACATATTTGGGATGATTTTTTAATCATAAGTATATTTTCCGATTATTAAATACTTATTTGCTAATGAGTGACTTGTTTAATTAACGATTATGAAGGTCATATGATCGCTTGCGTGGGTGAAAGCAGCAACAGTGAGCAGCAAACTAGACTCAGACAAACGACTCAAAAAGTTGACAAGAATCAAAAGTCACCAATCATATTGTAGAGCTGGAGTAGGAGCAATTTCAGCTGGAAGTTAGCGCGTGAAGAGGCTATGGCAGCTTCTAGGATGCCCGCTAGTTTGATGACCAGCAAACTGGCGGACGGCATCTTTTCAGCAGAGTCTGGACGTTCTGGCCATAAAAAAATGGAAATATTTACCCTTAGAGACAAATTTAGTGCGTCCTGCACGTTTACTATGTCCTACGTCATTATGCGAAGATCAACAAACAATGAGTCGCAGGAGAGGCATTAAAATCTTTAACTAATTATGGCTAAGAGCCAATCGGCATGTTAAGTTAGAAGTGCAACAGGTAACAAAATAATAATTGGGTTCGGTATTCAATGGAGACAAAAAAAATAGGAGAAAACCGCATCAGTTCGTCAGTACTGACAATTATTTCACACTATTCGCATTTTTATGTGGATGATGCACTTATAAGCAGTAAATCAATAGAGATTTTAGAAGCTTGTAAAAAGCTTCTAAAAAAGTATCGTTTTGTTTCATCAAAAACCAGCAACAGGCAACAACCGTTCGTTCAATGCACGCTTCAATGGAAATATTAAATGAATATTTTTTCCTATGGATAAGGAGAAAATTTCTTCTGAATTAACATCAAATCATTGAGCATCCATTTATGCATTCCAGATAGAGAAATTTGCGAAGAAGGCAAATAAATCATATATAGGTACTGGATTAATTCATGCAGTATAAATATCGTAGCAACTGAGTGAAATGAGACGTTAACAGCACCATGTGAAAATAATAAAATCCAGCCAAAGAATCATTTTCATGCAAAAAGCACAACCCTTACCAGCACTCAGCAATGACAGCGCACTCAAAACGCTGTGTGTGGAGAGCAAGAGATAAATATCATTGCGCCTGATGTCAGTAGCGACCGTCTGGCAGGCGAGGTGGTGGCAGTTGTTGTACATAAATAGAAATTTGTCAGCTTCTTCGAGATGATCACTGGCAGTGAAGTTCACGTCTGGCATCAAACACCGCTTGACTTGCAGCCACGTGAGGTGTCGGTAAAGCGCTGGTACCTGGTAAAAGTTCAAGTCTTTGTTGGGCAAATAATAAGTATTAACAAAAATTAAGAGGTAATTCTAAGCACGATTTTGACTTACACTTTATTTTCCACAGAATCAAATAAAATTCAAACTAGGGGTGCAACAAAAATTTTGCTGAAACGATTAGTTTCAGATTTAAGATATCAGATAATAGTAATGGAACGTGTAGCAGAGATTGCACTTGTTTACAACATGACTGCTGTCCGTTATTTACACATCATTGGCTACTGACATTGACTAGGTGTGTAATTGCCAGGCTGCAAGATAAACAACGGAAAAACTGCATAATATGCTTATTTGATAGCAGCCAGAAATAAATAGCAGTTGAGGCTCACATCAATAGGTAATCCTTTGTCATCAAGATTCACGCAATCCTTGAGCTTGGTCACGAGGACCCCAACGCTGTCACTGGGAAGCAGCAGCAGGAAGCGACGCACGTCGCTGAAGGCACACCATTTGCTGCCAAACTTGCTCAGGTACGCCAGCATCTCGTCCTCAGCACGAACTGGTCAGGAGGAGAATCATTGCACGTGTCATCTCTAACTTGGAGGCTGAGGAAGAACTATTAGACAAGTTTCAAATAAGGTTGTAGATCCTGTATTACCAGTAACCAGATCAGGTATAACGTCAAAGGAAATAAATTCAGGCATTGAGACAGTCGGAAAGTAAAAATTACAAATCTAATCAATAAGGTTAGAAATTGAAAAAAATACAACTGATGTAAAGAGTTGAAGATAACAGTCGCAATGCCTGTAATAATAATTTTGAACAAGTGAACACAAATGAATGAATATTCATTGGATTGTATTTTATGATATAGAGAAAAATCAGAATAACGCAGGTCGTAACAAAGATATAAATGAACATAATAATGCATTGACATAATTCTTACCACCAAGTTCAACAACCAAGTCTTCTAATCCAGCAGCTCTCATTTGCCACACGAGTTCCAAGAGAGCCAGGAACGGAGCCCTGTACTTGGTGTTATGTCTACTCTCAGTGTCCTTCAGGTTGTCACGCAGGAAGGACACGCCTTCCTCTAGTATACTCTTATCACAGTTAGAATCACTCGAGCTTTGGTAGATCTTGATCAAGGAGAAGCAGAAGCTCTCGTAATGCTGCCAATTGTCACGTCTGCAAATATGCATGTTATCAAACTACAGCTTTCAATTATAAAATCTCACACTCGTTCATCATTATATATGTATTCACAGAATATGCCTTGCTGCAAGAGCAAATTTTAGACTTGAAAATAATAACAACCAATGACATTCGAGATGAAACTCACTGCAATGCTATTAGTTCCTTGCATATTGCATGTGCCTGCTGCCATTGCTGCTGGGCCAAGTGGTAATTGATTCTCTTGAGCTGAACAAAATTGGCTGGCTGTTGGGTGATCTTCTCTCTCAGGTCAGAGTCTAGAATTTCCAAAGCGTCGAGATACTTTTTCTGTTGGACAAACATTTCAGATTTTAGGTTCATTGCAGTACAAATAATTCATAGCCCAGTACACGTATGCTGCTATGGGCATTTCAGCAAACTTGAATAATGCTAGTGTGGAGTCACAGCAGAATACTTTACCACCAGAATACCTTACACACAGTCACAGCAGAATATGGAATATACTTTATCATGCATAACTGCTAATTAGTAGCATGTAGTGCTTGTATCCAAAGCATGAGCAGCTTGCTAAATAAACATTTCGCTTCATGACGCATCATAGTCGAGGTACATTCAATAATTTTACTCAAATGTATGGTTGAGCACCTGTAAAATTACACTGATTTTGGTCGTAGTTGCTGTTGTAGTGCAATGCTAATAATCATATGATCGTACATTAGATGATGACAAATAAATGATAGATGATAATAATTGATGAAGAAACTCACTTGTAGCTCCAGAACATATAGGTAAGCTAGAACCTCGGCTTCAGCTTCAAGTTTGCCTTCTTTGTAGAATTTCTCAACCATGCGCTCAGCCAGAGTCAGACACATGCGTTGATCACTACTGCCTTCTGGTTCTTCTTTAGCCTGCAAAGTTCATGAATAAGTTAGGGGCATATCAGAAAATAAGGCTTTTCCATGTGTCATCTAAAAATAATATTTCCAGAAAAAGAGCCTATAAAGTCATTAAAGATGAAAGTGTTAATAGATATATTTTGAAGGACGATTGTAGTGATTCTCGAGAAATTTACAACAATTCCACTATTGTTAACCATAAAACGATAAAAATAAAGAGGCAATGAACTAGTACGGTTTTTCAATAAAAAAATTTTCTAATACAAAAATCCTGCAAAATGCAGGATATATTTCACCTGCATAACAATGCTGATGACTGCCCAAAAGTAATAGGGATTCTTGGGCTTGACTTTGTAGAGAGTCATGGCAGTCTGCTGTTGCTTCTTGAAGTTCCCCACACGGACATAAGACATGAAGAGATGGGAGAGCAATTCCTCATTCTTAGGCTGATTCTTGACAGCTGCTTCATAAACCTCACAGATTTTGTCCACTGAAACACAACCAAAATGAGTTTACAAAAAACATTGCTGCACAACTTTATGACTTGAATTAATACAGCATACCATTAGGATATGTTTGTTCAGAGTATCAATGCATTTTATATAAGAATTTCACTAAATAACTAGTAATCCAATAACAACAAAATATAAAATATTATTATTCTTAGCTAATTAAAGCAGTTAAGAGCACTTTTTAGAGCATTTATGAATCATCATTTAGCTGTAGTAATAACCATCAATGACAATGTTTAGCCAAAGGTTCGAGTTCCTACCAAGAAGTCTCCATGATCAGCTATGACCAGGAGACAAACTCTAAAACTTGAATCTTTAGAGCTTTCCTTTTTGATAAGAGTTTGAGCAATTGCCTAAAACATTGCAGCTCTGATAAGCATTCTCAATGAATTGCTATAGATCATTTATTATAGATAAAAAAAATAATAAGCCCAAATAAGGATAAAACATTTTTTAACCCAATGGCTTTTCTCAATAGAAATATGCTTTAAGCTAGGGCTAGGTATATAAAAAATGATTTTCCCACCAGCTTACTTAATTCCAGTTAATTTTGGAACTATTGTTGAATTATTTTAGGAATTGCAAAATGATTTGTGACTTTTTTTTCAGACCTATTACGTATATCATTAAATAGATAAATAATCTATCTACAACATTTTTCCATCCTCTGATTTCTTTGGAGGCTGGTTATCAGGAATGTTGGAAAAGAAATTCTTGTCAGAAGATGTATATAAATGATATACCGGTATATGGATTTAATGCATTATTAATTCAGCCCTTTTATTCATTTATACTTACACTCGTGTATTTCTCTGTAATAAATTGTGAGAGCTTGTAAAGAACTGTCATCAGTGGGTTTTGAGGCAACCACCTGAAAAAATAAATGCTAAAATTTAGAGGAACTAGAAAAAAAAATGCGCATCACCTCAAGAAAAGACTAGGTATAATTCCATAATAGTGCCACAAGCTTTATGCTGAATTAGACAGCTAATATTAAAGGCATATATGATATGGCACAATAACTCTAATATAGACATGTACCGGTATATACACTGAGAGAATAGACTGTTTGAATTGATAAGAGAGCATATAGGAAAACTAAATTTTTTCACAATATCTTGTAGTTCAAAAGTTCAAACTAGAAAATTGGACAGAAGTGACCAGTGACAAACAAAATCAGATGAGCTTGCAGACAATTTCATGAAGTTACCTACGTACTCTTATGGTCCTTGCGACCTTGCAAGGATCATAAGATAAAACATAAATTTGCATAAATTAACAAAAATGATTTTTGCTTAAACTTTTTGAACTCACCATTAAACTGATAATCTTTACCCATTATTTTTCCAAAAATGCTGCCCCAAATTATATAATCCATAGTGGGTCAAACAGACATATCCTGGGTTAATTTTTAAAGATAAGGTTCAAAAGTACCTATTGTTACTCATGGGGATTATTGAAAGTTGATATAATCTAGTTTGGAGTGCACTACAATTTTAAATAGTATCACTCTAAATAAAATCATTTTTAAAAGTTGTAGTGTTAAGTGAATAGATAAATTTTCAATTCAATTAAGATTTTAATTTTCAATGGAATAAAATTTGCCTGATTTCAGTGAAAAATACAAGTTTCAAAGGATATCAGCTAATTTATAAAGCAAAGTCTACCATCAATACCACAAACAATGCCATAGCACTCATGATTTGACATTTGTATGAAATGATTTTGTAAAAAAAAATGAGTCACAACATTATAGCACATTAAGAAGGTTATGTTGGTTATGTAACACTTGAACCCTACAAATCTTAATTGTGACCAGTGAACACTGACCAGTATTAAAGGGCATTGTTGCAGGAAGTAAGTTTATTGCAGTAGCTGCTGAATGGCAACTTATGTCTCATTTATTGACTAGTTATTTGATCTAACTGGTTTTTCTCATCATCTTATTTGTCTATTATGATATCATCTATTAGGCAAGAATAATAGGACAAAGGGGTAAAAAGCCTTTCCTAAATTCCGCCTTAATATTTTTACAGCTGTAATATTTTAGAAAATGGTTCATCTTCATTCTTTCCTAATCTTGAGGTCTTCCAATAAAATATCAATATTCTGAGCCTAACTCTTGCAAAAAGGAATTTACTATCACAATTGAATTTCAGCCAGATTATTAGTGATAATGATTTTTATTTATTATTAGTGAAATCACCACCAGCCTGATCATTAGTAAAATCACCACAAGTTCAACTATTAGAATAACAAATTGAATAGATCAAAATGAAAAAGTTTGGTGAATGGTTAACAATTCAATGTAAACTATAACCTCCAGCAAGGAATAATTTCATGAATCCAACCTGAGCAATACCCTGCCGAGCATCTTCAGCCTTGCCAGACCGTAGCAAAGCCAAGCAACGGAGCACCTTTGCACAGCTCAGGCCAGGCTGCTTTTTCAAAACTTTGTCGCATTCTTGAATTGCTTTGCGAGTGTTTCCAAGGTCAAGCCAGTCTGTAATAACAATAACACATAAGATATTAGGAAATTGAAGGCATTATAACCAGCCTAAATTCATATGTTCATAATAAAAGCCTGAATTGCAATGCAAACACTTTTGTAAACTCTTCCTTTTTGAATCCTATGTATGACTCAGTCACTTATATAATTAAAACACTTCTCTAAAGTTCTCTTTAAGTTTTAACTTCACTTCTTGTTTGTTTGTCAGCTACAAATCTTATACCTAATTGATATTCAACACAATTCTTGGCTACTTGTGCAATTAGGCTAATCTGAAATTTTGCACACTTGTGTAAAGTTGAAGACAATACTTGTATCAATTGGCATAATGAATAATTAACAAAAAAATATAAATGTAATAGGTATTAAAAAAAAACATTTAAAAATGATTTCTATAATATTTAAAAATAAAATAAGAAATTAATTGTACATGTGTCAGTGTAACATCAGAGACACTGGCAATAATCTGGCATGGCTGACGCCTGAGTGGCCTGACTGGCCTCTTCCTCTTTAGAAGTGTTGTCTTTAAAACATGATTTTTAAACTCATATTTTACATTAAGACCAGTCAAGCAAAACAAGCATCATGGTCCAGGATACCTCATACCAGACTTCTTACCAGCATTATCATACCTACATGCAGTGAGTAATCAGTAATGAATAACATTGTGTAATGTGTACTACATCAAGTAATTAAAAATTACTGGTTAATAGAAATCTCTATTTTACCTCTTGTCAGATTCAGACTGTCACTTGACTATGTTTAAATCATAATTCTACAATCGACACCCTTTCAAGTAAGGATATCTCAAGCCCAAAAAGGTTAAAAACAAGAAAGAAAGCAGAAGATCATTGATAAAGTGGACAACTACTTTTAAAACATTCTTACCATATATAGGTCTTAGTCTGCGTTCAACGACGGAATCATCTACAGACCCTTTCATGGTGCTGGTGAATTTTCGGAGAGGGTATCCATGTGGCTGCTTCTTTACGTTTTTACCGATAGAAACGCGGACAGGAAGAGCGATGAGAGTTCATGACAACCAGACAACACCGTTAACTCTCAATTTAGAGTAAATGACGGTTTCATTAGGTTGCGAGCACAATTTTGGCTTTATTCTAAAAATTAACAATAAGACGTTAGTTAACAAAATTTATATATGACTGAGTGAATAATATTGTGACCAGGTAACCATGAAAATGCCCATTAGCCACTGTAGTTTTTTTTACAATATATTGGTAGTCTTAAATGGTTCCTTGTGTTAGGGGTTTTCGTAAGAAAATTTACATACTATTATCATCTTAAAATCACTTAAGCACAGAAGTTTAATTACAAATTCGTCGTGGATAAATATACGTTACTAGGACTCATTGCGAGTGTTGACGTAAATGGACTCCAAAGCGAATTAGTAGCATGGTTCAACCATGAGTTGAACTACTAGAGTTAAACCATGAATTGGTAGCGTGTGCTGCAAGACTGATTATAAGAATGTAGTTGAACTAAAGAGTACAACATGAATCACTGCATCGGAAATTTTCACACAGGATAAATTTCGTAACACAAACGCAACAATGAATGACAATTTGCAACACGCGATGAGCTTGTCAAGGTTAAGAAAACGCAATTTAAGTGGCATCTTTTAATGCTTCATTCAATTCACTAAATGCTGAAAAAATTATACTGCGGCGAATGTTCAAAATTAGAAATAAATACTGCATGACAATGTTCAGATAATAAGAGAATATTGTATAATCCCATACGCGTAAAAAGTCCTACGCATTATAGGACAATTCAAAAAATTTTCACCAAGAAACTGACATATCCGGAACTAGGCTAGCCCAGAAAGGGCCAGAGGTTTTGTTCCGACACAATTTGATTTATTCAATCGAGCAAAAAGCACAAATTACATCTAAGAAATTTATTTAATGATGAAATGCAGCATTTCAAAGACAACTTCGATGATGATGAGATAGATAATGATTCTTTCCAGGCGATGGCTCTGTTCTTCACCGTGGTAATTCTTGAGCAGTTCCAGCAGCTGCACGCAGTTGTTCAACTTGTCGCTCATCACCTGAAACACAACGCGCAGCTTTAATGATGGACATAGTATTTCTAGAAGCATCTTCGCCTTACTACTTTCAAATTGAAAATTGGTTGGTGGTAACAATATGGATTAAGTATACCAACTTCTCGATAGATGAAAAACCATCGCTCATTGATAGACATTTAAATTACATTATTGGCCTTCTAACGAAGATATCCTGCTAACCAGGCATTTTGATGAAAATAGGATTGAAATGTACGACTGGGCAAAATTTGAACGAGAGGAATTGCTGACCTCTGTGCGCCGTGCAATGGAGAGGTAGTTGGACGTGCGTTTATACAAGAGCTCGAGCGCGTCTCTATCCCAGTAATAGTCTGAAGGATCCAGGAGGTCTGAGGAAAGGGTTAGGGAATGTCGCAGCTCGTACAGCTGCCCTAAACGTGTGAAAACTTCTTTCTTGGGAAGAATTATCATGCCGCTCTTACGAAGCTCCTGCATGGACAGGAAAAAAAACAATTTAATAAAATTCCTGCTACCAGAAATAATTGAGATATATTTAAAACAAATTCAGTCCAATCAAGTATGAACTGAACAACTTGGGGAGTAAAATTATTTGCTTTCTGGAAATGGAATGTTCGCCAAACTAAGAACTGCTCCTATGCTGACTGCTGCCTCACAGACTCCTTGTGAGGTTTCATTAGTCTACGGTTTCAAACTTTGTAGAGTCTATTCGTTGTTATATATTTTGGTAGTACAATAATTTATTTGTGAGCACTAAATTTTCGAGTGTAACGCGTTTTCGCAGCTAGTTCACATCCAGCAGCTCATCTTTCGATTCGAAATAGATTTTCCCAATGGCAAAAATTTATTACAGAAAGCGACGATAACGGATTCGATGGTCAACTTTTGGGGAGCTTGAACATTTGATCGATATAAAGGAAATGATTAGTGTGAATCAGTTTTGTATCCTTGAAGACTTACTAATTATTATAGCAACGACCTTTTGGAGTCAGATCAGGCATTAGAGTTTAACTTGTTGCGAACACCGGTATTGCGAACTGAGGTTGGGAGATCCTACATAGCAATTCAAGATTTAACACTACATTCTGATAGTTACTCTTGCTCATCGTTGATAAGAGCAATGTTGATTATCTAATTTCGAGCCCATAATCTTTGGTTTTCTGAATCCTAGAATTACCTCCATGTTAACTTCACCTATTAAAATGATTAAATCTAATTCCTTCTGATTAGCATTTGCATTGTGCTGCTTGATCAGAATCTTACCAGGAATCCTGGATAAACATAAACAAAAGATTCAAGCCTTGAAGATCAAACCAGTTCTACAAATAGAATTCCGTAAATATTCTACATAATTATTACGATCTGACTACAACGCCACCCGCCATAGCCAGATAAGTTCAAGGCTTAAGTTAATTATTGAGGTGTTGATGAACCACGAACTTCATGATAAGAGGATGGTGAAAGCCTATGCAGTATGGTACCTCAGCAACAGGTTTAATGCTGTCAATGTAGTGATCGAGCTCTGTCTCCCAGACGCCCAGTTTGACGGAGTGGGCGAGAGCGTTGGAGAAAGTGTAGCGCTCAAGATGGTGGGGGGCGGCTTCACTCAGCAGGATGCGGCCACCAGAGAGCCTCGTCTTATTCCTGCAACACAGAGTAAAACTCCAGTAAGAACTCAAGGGGCTTGAGCCAGGAGTGGCATGGAGGCTGCGATGATTAAAAAGTGTCTTTGTAATGAGGGCTCATATATGTAATAAACAAGGTCCTTAACAAATAAATAAAATAAATAGGAATGGAAGTTAGAAATCTTTCAAGTGATAATACGGTTTCAATAGCATATTATCACATTTATTATACATAAAATATTACTAACGCCAGCACGGCAAGATGATCACAGGGTGGGTCACAATCAAAGTTCTTCTTTCAGACGAATATGAAAATAGAAGGAATGATATTGGGATTTGGTTAGTCAAAATTAAAGATAATTTCAACATTCAATAAATTAAAGCGAAGAGTAAAACCACCTCTCCTGTTAGAGTTTCAATTTGAACAAGTTTTTGATATTGTTCATACAACAGTGAGCTATTGCAGCCGTAATTTTAATTACTAACATGTTTAAATCGGGGTTGAAATGCTACTTCATTTTGTGGATATTTATTTGTATATATGCATCAGTGGTTTGCAAAAATACTTTGGCAAATACAACTGCTTGGGGTGGTTTGTGGGGAGAAGTTCTTCTTAAGTTTTACGTTCTCTTCATGATTAATTTTGACCACAGGATTTAACAGATCTCATAGTTTGTCAAAATATGTTGTCAGTTTGAAGTTCCCTCGTCCAAGAATTCTCCTATAGAACTAACTACACAGAACAATTCACTATGAATCAAGGAGGAGTCAGATCAGAGATCAAAGGGATAAAGTTATAAAAGGCATTTATCAAAAACACAAAATAGTTGTACCAGAAGTAACAACCAAATAAAATGATTAAACAGCTGTATAAAGCAGAGAATCAAGGGACTTGGCTCACTCTGAGTACGTGTAGGGCAGACTCTCACTTTGTTCTTCCATTGTTTCTGGGCTCACTAGATCACCTAGGGAGAACTGTTTAATGTACGTCAGGACATTGCTTCTCTCAAGCTCATCCACGTTCCAGAACACCACTGAACCATCACGGAAGAAGAAAATCTCCCGTGGTTCTGAAGATATCTTATACTGGCCAACCACATGTAGCACTTCGGCAATATCTAAGGGACGAAAACAGTCATGAATATTGAAATACAGAACAAGTTAGAGGAAAATATCAGATGTTTCTAAGCATAAAAGAAGCATTCATAAAAACATGATTAAAGTGGAATTAGTACGTATGTGGTATATGATCTAAAGCACTAAAGTTCAGAGTACAAAGTTTCGTTCACCTGGAATGCAATCTAATTCATCTGTTCCTGGATGAGATGAAGGTCTGTACCCCTTAACTTCTGCCTGCTCTGATGCTTCAAAATCAATACTGTCACCAAAACCTCCTCGATTTCTGGAAAAAAATCCCAATCATTGTGGCAATTTTTTTCATGATAAATTGCAAAGATCATAAAAATTTTCATGAATCAAGGCGCAAAGATTAGTGGTGGAAACAATAACAATGGCAGTTAATAAAAATGTAATTGGGAGACAAACTTTGTGCAAACATCCCAGATATAGTGGGAGAGGTCTACATTGATAACAAATTCATTATCATACCAAACTCATTACACCACAGTAGGATAGGTGAAAATCCCTATTGTTTGAATTTAACTTTTTGCATGTTAATCTATCATACTTTGTAACCTCAATTCTGGTGATGAACTAATTCTGGTAGTGTGATGGAGAGATCGTTCATAAAGGCCAAGCTTTTGAAAGCCCTTCAGAAGCTCTTCCAAGTTGTACTCATCTGCAGTTGCATATGCTGCCACTTCATAGTCCTGGGATAAAAAAAATTAAAATCACATCTAATTACCCATGCAATCAGTCTTGCAATTTTGAGCCTATTCCATATTAGCAAGGTAAAGGAACTAAAAGTAATGAGATAAACTAACTGATGAAGATAAAGGAAATAAGAATGAACCCTAAGGCTACATACTGGCTTTGGACGGCCTCCAATGGGCGGCAGATGAGGAAGAGCTAGTCCAGGATCAAAAGTGAGAAAATCATGACCAATCAAAGTTGTTGAGGGTGCGCCAGAAGGTAGATCAGCACATGCAGTAGTGGGACTTTTAGCTTTCCGTGTGATATGATTGCTGTCATTTGTGCTGATCTCCTTCTGTAACATGCTACACCTTAGAAGGTGTTGAATTGAAATGAGTAGTTTCCTAGCATGGCAAGCTTTGTATACATACTTTAGTCAAGACTACAACAAGACAACCTAAAAGCAATCAGTACAGTTACTGATAGCAAATGTATGTTTAGAAAATTTATTTCTCCAAGACTACGGTACATTGATCACCTGTAAAGAAATGCTAATCCTTTAGATTTAACTATAATATTTAAATTACATTTGACTGGATAATATGAAGAACATTACTGATAGAATACCCTAGCAATGAATGTGAAACTCACCTCTGAGTCTGCAAGAGCTCTTCTTTTCTTTATTGACTTTAATTTAGGTGCAGGATTAAAGGTTTCTCCTCCAACTGCACTAGAATATTTTGACTGCTTTGAAGAAATCTGTAGATCACAAGAAGATGTGAAATCTTTGACTTGAGGAGGCAGCAAATGTCTTCTTGAAAGAATAGGAGAGTGAAAATGTAGGGAAAGTTTTCCTCCCACAACTAATGTTTTAGTAGAATAATACTGCTTAGAAAGATTGCAGGTTTGTGGTAAAGCATTCAGATTGTAAGCTGTACATGAGGAATTAGTTTTATTATTTTCCTTCCAAGCAGAAATTAATCTGCATAGCTTTGAGCCAGAGCAATTATTTTCTAGCCTACTAAAACTTCTTGACCCTAAGAGAAACCCTTTGGAAACAACTTGTGGAACGAAAGCTGTCATTTTCATCAATCTGGAACCTGGAGATTTTTTTTCAATTAATGTAGAACTAAAGTTGCATTAATATACATCTATCATTATCAGAAAATAGTTGATAAATTAATAAATTATTGCTGGGGTTATTATTAACAATAACAGTTTATAGCTAATAAAACAATAACAAGCTTGCCAAGCAGATTCCTATAAAAATTCACTACCAAACAGTATAAATTCAAGCAAGACAAACTCAATCCCTTCAAAGGCTTCAATTAGCATTGATGACATCACAGAAAAATTTTACTGATTTTTAGCTGTGCCGTTGGGTGAAGACATCACATGGTAATATCAGCCTTATGGTTGAATTTATAGGATCATTTATCTCTCTTTCCACCCAACAAAATTTGTAAGTAACACAGGCACCATACATAAAAACATTAGTTGCAGTTATTAAAGTTTATTGGGCTATTTTGAGGAGGTCAATTTCATTTTAAATATCAAATATGACACCAAAACAATGTAACACACGGCCTGACAAGAGATAGTTTACATTTTCCAATCTCACTGACATTACAAGAAATTTGCACTGAAAGGCGGAACTTCTAGTGGGTCAAACTTGTATAGTTCAACCATGGGTACCGGTATGACCCATGGTTGAACTAGTAGAAGGTTGACCTACAAGAAACTTGCCTTTGCGGACGGCATTGGTTATTTACCTGTGATATGATATGCCTATGATATGATCAATGATATAAAAAAAATGTTGTTTTTGGTCAAAAAACAAATAATCACATGTGTCATGTTGTTTTGGTGCCATATTTGAGAGTATGTAGAAAACCTTTTAGCTCCTCAAAATTCCCCTGAAAACGTCAGTCTTTTTAACTAGTCTTCATCTAGGTAATCATGCAAAAGTTTTGAAGAGATTTTGTCATGCAGAAAAGAAATAAGTGATACATTAAGCCAGGGTCACCCACTACTTGCACTGTTACAGTGTTACTACTTATTGGCAGCCTCTCTGCTCAGACAAGGACAAAATAAGCAATCAGGTAATGGTCAGAAAAAGCTCCCTCTACAGCAAATCCTATTTATTCAAGTGGGTAGATATATACATATTCTTATTGTTTGATGCCAATTTATTCCAAATTTTGATGCTTTTTCTCACNGGTAGATATATACATATTCTTATTGTTTGAGGTCAATTTATTCCATATTTTGATGCTTTTTCTCACGTTCTCAGTTTATTAATGATGTAGCACATGTTTCTATTTACCGGCTGACAATTTCAATGAAATGTTTTGGATTTTTGTTTGAAGCTAGAAAATTTGGACAATAGCATTGCTTGTCAAGAATATTCACCCCAGTAACATCTGGGCTGCTTATTGTTACCAAGCTTAAATTCTTAATTCAATAAATTATACAAACCAAAAACCTAAACTAACCAGCAACACTATGACTGGATTTGTCTGAACTTTGAGATAGTTTTCAGAGTGATTTTTCAGGTTCAAAGTTTTACTGCAGTAACCTATTAATGTACAGTATATAATGTACTTATTTCTATCAAATTTTCCATATTTAATGCTTCTTCTCTTCTAACTTGAAAATGGATGATTGTTGCATTCAAAATGTTGTTAATAAACTAAAACTAGTAATTCCTGAAATATGCCTTTCAATCTGCTGTCATCTGAAGAACTGTCTGCCTAGTGCACACCAGTGATTTTTTATAATCAGTTTATTTTTAATGGTCTATTTATAGAACTTGAAATTGAACTTGAAGAGGAGTCTAAAAAACTCTGTTTTGGGTGTTTTTGCCCCTAGCCCCTAGGCCTAAGATTGTCCAACAGTCCAACTTTCAGATAATTCTAATCAAATTCTCTGGAAACTCTGGATCTGGTCAACAATCACATCATTCACATCAATAAAATCACATGCATATACCTACTGCTACTAATACTAGTACCTAGTACATTAAGTCGACGTATACCAGCTAACCAGCAAGAGCAAAGTATCATGGAATATGGACACTATCATACCAGCATGACACCACCAGCAAGCAGCAATAGCATAAATTGGTTTAAATCTTGAGTAAATAAGATTAAAAATTAACCGAGTCTAAAAAATATCTGTTTTCACACAATCATATGATGGATGGTTCCTGTCCAAATCACAAGTGGCTTTAGCTCAAATGCCCAACTTTCCAATTGGGAGTCAGACTTTAACATCAAAATAAACTCGGTTAGGCCTAACAATAAACTAAGAAAGGTCTTCAATGTTCAGAAGATCTTGCAAAAAATATTTTGCTTCAAGTATTTATTTACTGGTACAGTATATGTATTTTTGGCAAGAAATCCTCAGTCAGCTGAGTCCTGAGTGTTTAGCATCGAGATTTGAGAATGACCTAAACCTAAATGTGAGTGTGAATGACCTAGGTAGGTGAACCTTAAGACTAAAGTAAAGGTCATTCTAGTAAGTGGCAAGAAATCCTCAATAATACTGTTTATACTGGCAAGTTGAATCTATAGATTATAAACGATCTTACACCAAATAGCTGAAAATAATAACTAAATTATAGTGGCAAAGCAGAGAGTTTTTTTAGACTCTCCCTCAAATTCAATTTTGAGTACTGTAAAATGAGTTACTTTGACTCCCGGGGTAAATTTGACCACTTTTCATTTTTTTTAACAAAAAACCCCCAAAACTCAAAAACTATTTGACAAAAAAATTTTATCAATGGCCATTAAAGGCCTTATACTGAGGCTATGTAACACAATAGAAAGATTTGAAAAGTTTGCATATCTAATAGGTTAAAAAATTAAAAATGTGACCCTCGAAAAAGAGCTATTATTTAAAGCCTGTTGGATTACCCCCTCCAACTTTTTATTTTTTGGTAAAATAACTCCAGGTTTTGATGCATTGTAGTAGAACTCTTCTAGTTACATATGCAAATGACAAATTTTTGAATGAAAAGTGTCATAGTTTGCAAATGGGGGGCACCGCTCCCCATAGTGGCAAACCAGAGCTTTTTTAGAATCAGTTCATTTTTAATTACCACATTTACCTACTCAAGATTTAAACCTTATTTATTAAGTATTATATATAATGCTGGTATCCATGATACTTCACTAGTCTACTTATAGGTGTCAGAAGTGAACTTGAGGGAGAGTCTAAAAAACTCTCTGCCTTGTCACTATGCGTGCCCCAGCACCCCCAATGGGGGAACTTTGACCACCTAATGGCAGGCTGGCAGCCGTGCTTGGCAGCCACATAGACNGTGCCCCAGCACCCCCAATGGGGGAACTTTGACCACCTAATGGCAGGCTGGCAGCCGTGCTTGGCAGCCACATAGACCGGCTTGGAAATTAAGTTAAAATTAGCATAGGTACCTATATAACATATTTTATGTTTGATTAATGTTTTAATGTTTGATTAATGGTTTAATGATTATTAATGTTTTTTTCTTTATGTTTCAGACTCTACATCTGGAGTTTTATATATGGTAATTTTAACTTAATTTCCAAGCCGGTCAATGTTACCCCGTCACGGCTGCCATTAGGTGGTCACATTTTGCCCCCCATTAGGAGGCGGCGCCCCCCATTTGCAAACTATGACACTTTCCTAAAATCTGTCTTTTGCATGTGTAACTAGAAGAGTTCTACTGTTCTACTACACTGCACCAAAACCTGGAGTTATTTTACCAAAAAATAAAATTGATTTTACCACCCAGTCAAAGAAACCCCAAGACCTGGGGCTGGGGTAACAACTAACAAAGACCATCAATTTTTTTTAAATTACATCAAAACTATGAGAGCCTGAGAGGCAGGAGCCAGCAATTTATGGTGATTGAAGGTTTGACTTTGAAGCTAGACTACAGTATAGTCTGTAATGTATAGACCTGTATTTTGGCTTTGCATGATTCAATTTAAGTTTAAATTATCTAGTAAAAAAATGACATCATTTTGAAAAAAAAAAAGTTGTCAAAGTTACCCCATTTTATGGTAGGTACCTACTATAAGTAGACCAGTAAATGTAAAGTATCATGGATACCAAGGTGCAAGGTCCAAGATACGCATCCTAATCATAGCTACATAAGAAAATGGTTTAAATATTGAGTAACAGTAAATGAGGAAATTAAAAATGAACTGATTCTAAAAAAATCTCTGGTTTGCCACAGTTACTGTGGCAACTGGTAACACTTAGTTTGGGGCTTACCCTAGCCAGCCTGAGAGTGAGAGTCCGTCACTGGCGAGTGGCTTTAGATCATTCTTTACTGTTTACACTAATTACTGATATCACATTGACATTATCACCTATAGAGTGCTGCGCCAGCTGCGGTAATTTTCAATACATTAAATTAATCACAAAAGTGTTTCTTCATAGCAGATAGGTAAGAAATTTTTAAACACGTTAGAAATAATAGAATAACCAAATTAACCATATTTTTCACTTTTCAGATAGGGTCCCCAATACCCAGTGGCAGTAGCCAGGGTCCTCGGCCGCATTTGCTGCAGCATCGTTGCCGACTGAAATAATGCAGATTGCAGATGCCATGAGCCTCAACTGCCTCATGGGCGAACAGTCTGAGGCTTGTGCCGTGCCTCCAGCTACCCTGTCATTCAGTCGTCGGTTAGCCTCCGTGATGGTGGTGCGTGGAACTGTTTCCTGCCGGCGATCACACAAAACGTCACCATCAACAGACAGTCCAATTAGGTTGTTTTCCACCAATTCGTACATTTAAAAATAAGGTAAGAACGGTCCGTTAAAAGGTAGCGTATATTTCCACATGAAAAGTTTCGACAGTTCTACATATTTTTTTTTTTCGACGATGCTCTATCAGCTCAATGACTGATAGTAATCTTAAATTAAAAAAAAATTCAACTCGTGTCTGGTAAGTGTTCGTAGGTTTATTCATTATAATTCAAACAGCATAAAAATAGTTTGACACTAAACATGATTTATTATTTAAATAAATGTATAAAATTTACATTAATATGATCAGAGCAGGGTCGTGATTTTATCTATTAGAAAGTGCAATTTACGCTTCCTGATTTATCCAGGATGACACTCTGAATGGTTATTTTGTTACATTCAATATTATCCGGC